ATACTGTGTTTTTCTGTTATTTAAAAAATGTTATTTATTGATGGATGTAATAAAAGGCCAGTTTTGGGCCATTAACTCCATTTGTTGTCAGTGTGGTTACTTAGGTTAAGTATGGGGGGTAGGTATTGGTTTAGTGAGATTTACAAGCCAACTTTAGTCCTCTGGTCATGGTCTGAGTACCCTCAAGAGTGGAGATGGGCACAGAGCACAAGGCAGCCCGGGTTCCGGTATCAGTAGGTTGCAGTGGTCTCTGAACTGTAGTCAGCAGCAATGGTGGCACACACCTGTCTGCAGTGGAAACTGGACCTTGGACTAGGTACAGAGATGAGGACTGTCATGGATGCTGTGCAGTATGGCACCCAGAAACTGGACCTTAGAAGCTAGGTACAGAGATTACGAGGACAGTCAGTCATGGATGGCTGTCTGCAGTATGGCACCCAGAAACTGGACCTTAGAAGCTAGGTACAGAGATTACGAGGACACTCAGTCATGGATGGCTGTCTGCAGTGTGGCACCCAGAAACTGGACCTTAGAAGCTAGGTACAGAGATTACGAGGACACTCAGTCATGGATGGCTGTCTGCAGTGTGGCACCCAGAAACTGGACCTTAGAAGCTAGGTACAGAGATTACGAGGACACTCAGTCATGGATGGCTGTCTGCAGTGTGGCACCCAGAAACTGGACCTTAGAAGCTAGGTACAGAGATTACGAGGACACTCAGTCATGGATGGCTGTCTGCAGTGTGGCACCCAGAAACTGGACCTTAGAAGCTAGGTACAGAGATTATGAGGACACTCATAGGCAGGTAAAGGTACTCGCTAAGATCAAGGACGTGGTCAGATGGCAAGCCAGGGTCAGCACAGATGAACAGCAAGGGCATAATCAGAAGCCAAGCTGGGGACATACATGAGGAGCAGGAGTAAACATAGTCAAGCAGTAGGCTGAGATCAGAACCAAGAAAATAGCAGAGACAAGCCGGGTTCAGAATCCAGAGTCTCCAAAACAAGGTCAGGAGCAGGCTGAGTCACAACAGGAAATCAGATAACAAGAGCAGGAGCACAGAAACTCAGGTCACCGGAAGCTGAAGAACACCAGGAATTAGCATACCTGGGAGCTCCCTTTAAATAGGCAGCTTGAAGCCATACCCGGGATTGGGCATGCGCCAATGAGCATGGACGTGCGCACAGATGTGCCAAAGTGCTGGTTACTAGACTAGTACCAGAGTAAGTTTGCATATACACATGAGCATTACTGCCCAAGCATGTGGGCGTTAGCTGTAAAAAGCATTAGTTCCCTGAAATTTGGGCCACAACATCCCAGGATGATACAAAAAACATGTTGAGTGTAATATTTGGGGGTTTCATGAAAAGTGTAGTGCTTTCAATTGAGTTCAGTCCATCCAGGAAATACTGTTTCAGTGCTTGACGGCCTGCTTTTAGTTAAAAGAAAAGTTCACCTCCAATGAAACCAAAAGGTTACCCTCACAGGGGTTTACACCATCACTTCAAACATCAAAGGAAAACAGCATTAACTTTCCTAGCTTCATCTTGCGGTCTCAGCCTAGACCATTTGTTTGGTCCTCCAAACTGTCTTATAGCACACGTGCGTTCATGGACAGCCACTGTACCTCTCTCAGAGTTCTTTCTTCTGAAATGGCCCATGCCTTGACCTTTGAGCAGGGGACCTCCTGTCTCCTGGGTGGAGTCCTGAACTACAGACCACCCCTTGATTATAAAGGTCGTGCATACCTGCACACTCGGCTTGCCAGTCCCCTGGACCCAGGGTTAGAGATGGAATGCCTCCCAAGACTCTTTGAAGCCTCTGACTTCCAGAACTCAGGTTGGGAAAAATCAAACCTGGAGGAAACCGAAAGGCCAATTTCAGCAACTTAGAACAGCCATTCACATGGCACAGTTTTGCCTGCAGTTTCTTGCTTGTGAATTTCTTACCTCCTTGCTGCAATGGTTCTGCTAGAACTGGGATTCCATTCACATGTTCTGCTGGCTTCTGTGTTCACCTATGGACATCTCCTGCTCTGCTGTGGATTTATATCCCGTTCCCTCCTACCACTTCCTGGCTAGACTCCCAGTCTGCTTCTCTCTATATATAGACATGCTCAGTACATTCTGCTCTTCATTTTCCAAAAAAGAATATGATATTAAATCCTGATTACATGCAATTCTACACATGTGATTTATGTTTTAGAATGTCCATGTCATTTGAGATATATTGGGAGAACTGGGAGGTGTTTAAAAACAAGAATAGGCGAACATATTAGAAACATAGTAAAAGGATTTGATAAACATAGTGTATCCAAACATTTCAAATTGGTACATAATTGTGATCCGAGCTTACTTGCCTTTTATGGGATCGAGATGGTAAAACCCCATTGGAGGGGCTCGGATTTGGTTAATGAGATTTCCAAAAAAAGAGACGTTTTGGATTTATGAACTAAATTCCTTGCAACCATTTGGGTTAAATGTCGATATAGATTTGAATTGTTTTCTCACAAATTTTTAATTTTTAATTTTTATGTTATTTTAAGTATATTTTTATATAGGCAACTGTTTAAAGATGATATATGGGAGATTGTATGTTTTTTGTACAATTTTTGCATTATTTTTGTATTATTACTAGAGTTCCCCTTTACTGGCCCTTTAAGTTCCCTTTTTGAAACACAGTCTTAGAGGGTGCTGGCCCCGTTAATGTATTTACTTATTTAATTTATCATTAGTGTTTTATTCAAATTTCTTTTTATTCTATTTTTGTTCTCTTGTTTTAAAGTCTTTTTGCTTGTGATGGCTATATTGGATACATTGTATATCCTTTGTGGACTCCTGTCATCTGTGGGGCGGCTTGCTTTGCTTGATTCCCCATTGATGTCAGCTGTTCGTTTCCTGTGAGTGAATATTTTTAGGAGGTTGAGACGTCTCACATCTATCCGCTCCGTGAGGACGTCGATGGGCGGAGCTTGATTGATGTGACGTCATTACGTTTTTGGCTGCCAGCTACTGCGCATGTGCTGAGTAGCCAGGCTCTTTATGTGATTGCTGTTATGCTGTTGATGCTGGTGTCGGCTGGGACACCTCTTGAGTAAGTGCAATGAGTACCTAACAAAGGAATTGGTTTTTATTATATTGCTGAAGTCTTTCTGTTTCTCCCGAGTGCTTGGCATTTCCCCCCATGGATACGTTTGAAGGTGGTCCTTTATCTATTGGAGAAGTGGATTTTCGATTAACTACAAAGTTTTTCATCCTGTTATTTCGATCGATGAGGATCGGTGTGTTGCCCGTTTCTGAAGATATATTTATGGATGATCTGACATTACAAGGTTTTTTGGTGAAAAATTTTTCATATTTAGACACTTTTTTTGCACAAAAGTTTTTTGCACTTAAAAGTTTTTTTTTATTTTTTTTTGTGGTTTGGCATATATATATTTTTTTCTGGACTTATGATTTGATGATTTTTTTTTTTTTTTATGATTTTATACACATATACTAGCGCAAATTATTTATTTATTGGTACACTTTATATATGGTGATTTTTTGCAGCTGGTACACTATTAGTAAGTTATATAATTTTGACCATAGGCGCTATTATTAATTTTTCTTACCGTTTTTGCTTGCCTGCTGCCCGCCATGACTTTGGCTTGTTTTCCAGATCCTCTTCTGATCTTTGCCATCTGTACTCTGCACATGCGAGTGGTTTCCTCATCGTCAGCTGGGCCTACCTGAGGGCTACGACCTGGTTTTGTTTTGCTGCAAGCCCATCCTCACCATTAGGGAACCTGGGGAAGAAGCAGTCTGGGGCTTAGACTTAGTGTCCCGGGGTACCCCTAGTTGGCTATCTACAAGAACTCACTATCATAGAAAACTGACATTGGTAGGCCCCTCGGTCTGGCATCTGTGAGAACCCTGTGTGAGATTTGCCTCTCCTAACCCAGTGGTAGGACACCACACCATCACAGGAATTTGTGCTCTCATAGCATCTACCAAAAATGAACATGTCAGGTTTTTGGTGGAAGGACCTTTTTAGGATGGAAGTTCGGGGAGATCCTACAAGTCCTACATTGATCTAGGTCAGGGTTTCTCAGTCAGGGTTCCTCCAGAGGTTACTAGGGGTTCCGCGAGCAATGAGCAATTTCTGCTTCTCGGATAAGTTCCCCCTGACACCATTGATCTATCTGTAAGGGGGGAATAATTTTCAGTGACCACAAGTGTAAGAACATTCTACCCAATGACCATCACACTAATGCACCATGAGTTGTAGATCTAGCCATTTTTAGCAGGAGATCCCTGAGACTGGAAAGTTATTTCAAGGGTTCCTCTGTGCTGAAAAGGTTGAGAGTCTGATCTAGGTATAGGTGGGCGAGGGGGCAGGTGGTCACCACCAATAGTCCAGAACCTGTTTAGATGTGAAGGTTAGAGTTGGTTGCACGTTGCAGGAAAGGACGAATATACAGTAAGTGTCAGAAGCTGGCTGGTTTATTTCAGCTGGCGAGTGTGATTGTAAAGAGAGAAATATATCAAGTATTACCCTGCAGTAGAGTGGGTCAGTGGAGTTAATAGACTTTCATCGGTGATAATTGAGAAAGCGCAGACTATTTCCAGATGAGATGGGAATATAACAAGCTTGGTTTTTGTCGGGTCGATTTGAAGATGTCTGTGGGTCATCCAGGAAGAAATATAGTAGCCAGGAGACAGTAATAAATTTCAGATGCAGTCACCGGACAATTCATTGCTTCGCTTGTAAGCTGGAAATAGGCGACATTATTTCTGTTATGTAGAATTGCAGTACGCATCGGAGGTGTTGTCAGAGCTACACGTCCAGCTCAAAAGGAGAAAAATACCAGCAAATGGTGAAAATTACACCGTAGACCAAACTTTATCAACCCTTTATAATATGGAGGAACCCTTGAAATAACTGTGAGATATCAGTCAGGTCTGAGGGATAAATTAGGTATCATGACGAATTAGCATAGCAGTCAGTGGGAAGAATGTCCTTACATTGGTGATCAGTGGGAAGAATGTCCCTTACATTGGGGGTCAGTGGGAAGAATGTCCCTTACATTGGAGGTCAGTGGGAAGAATGTCCCTTACATTGGTGGGTCAGTGGGAAGAATGTCCCTTACATTGGGGGTCAGTGGGAAGAATGTCCCTTACATTGGGGTCAGTGGGAAGAATGTCCCTTACATTGGTGAGGGTGGGAAGAATGTCCCTTACATTGGGGGTCAGTGGGAAGAATGTCCCTTACATTGGGGGTCAGTGGGAAGAATGTCCCTTACATTGGTGGGTCAGTGGGAAGAATGTCCCTTACATTGGTGGTCAGTGGGAAGAATGTCCCTTACATTGGGGGTCAGTGGGAAGAATGTCCCTTACATTGGTGGTCAGTGGGAAGAATGTCCCTTACATTGGTGGTCAGTGGGAAGAATGTCCCTTACATCGGGGGTCAGTGGGAAGAATGTCCCTTACATTGGGGGTCAGTGGGAAGAATGTCCCTTACATTGGTGGCCAATGGGAAGAATGTCCCTTACATTGGGGGTCAGTGGGAAGAATGTCCCTTACATTGGGGGTCAGTGGGAAGAATGTCCCTTACATTGGAGGTCAGTGGGAAGAATGTCCCTTACATTGGGGGGTCAGTGGGAAGAATGTCCCTTACATTGGTGGTCAGTGGGAAGAATGTCCCTTACATTGGTGATCAGTGGGAAGAATGTCCCTTACATTGGTGGTCAGTGGGAAGAATGTCCCTTACATTGGAGGTCAGTGGGAAGAATGTCCCTTACATTGGTGGTCAGTGGTAAGAATGTCCCTTACATTGGTGGTCAGTGGTAAGAATGTCCCTTATATTGGTGTCAGAGGTTTGTTATCTAAGAGAAATTACTTAAGGAAGCAGTAGCAAGGTCTGGAGGATCTGAAGGGTTCCACAGAGCCATGGTGAAGAAAAGCTTCCCTAGACTCTAGTTTCTGACCCTTTAGCCTAGGCACCAGTGATATCTCTGTCTTTATGAAGTCTCCTGACTAACCTGAGATGAAACAAGGAGTGAAAAAAGTTAAAAGAGCATGTTATAAAAATAAAATGTAGCAATTGTTATTCATAAAGTCTGCTTTAGCAAACAGTGATTCATTTAAGGTTCGTAGAGATTGCACATCTCATCACTTCGCAGTCAGATGGGGGAACATGGATATGTCAGTAAGTCATCTCCAACCCTGGCAGATGCCCCCTTTCTGAGCCTTGGGGAGGATGGGGGGGGGGGGATTGGCTGGGCTGGATCTTCCCACCTTATTGCTACGTTTCCCATCAGGGCCACTGCTTCCACTAGGAAAACTAAGCAGTCGCCCAGGGTACACTGACACCTAGGGGCGCCTGGGCGCTGCATAGGCCAGCTCTCTCTCTGTGTGGGACATCACCATGTCATGAATGATCCTTCAGCTGAGGGGAGGGGCAGCAGAGGGGGAGGAAGAAAGGACAGAGGCAGATGTTGGGTGTCTGGGGCCAGTGTAGCAGCTGAGCTGCCGGCACTTCCAGTGTTCCTCTCAGACTCAGTCCCTTACTGCAAGCCAGCTGGCGGCTGCTTATCACTGTGGAATTCCAGCCCTTTTCTTCCCATTCATCAGCGGAGGAAGGTAATGTTTGACTCTGATATCTCGGGTCTGTGTGACCGGCCGGCCATCCATCCCATGAGCCATGTGTCAGTGAGTGATGACATCATCACAACTCTACAGCCAGCTCTTCTAGTGCCTGCTGATCTGTGTCATGTTGGTGGCGGTGTGTTGTGTCGGATCTGTCACTGCGTGGGATCGCTCAGTTCAGGTGTTCTCTGTGTGTGTGTGGGGCTGGGCTGTCTGATGTCACAGCGTTTTACCTCCCCCCATTGCCTGGGGAATCCCAGCCTGGGAGTGTGGATCCATCATCCTCCATTCACTGCAACTGTCACCCTGCCACTGCCAGCCACAGATACAGTCCATCTGGGACACTGAATTCCTCTTTAACCTCTTGGCGCTGGCCAAACACAAATGTGCGGCCTCCCGGCATCTGGGCTTAGACGCCGAGCGGCCGCACATTTGCGTTCTATTAAAAAAACCATATGTGCTGAGTGCGCACGCCCTGCCCGCCCGCTCCCAGCACACACATTCTGTACACACGGAAAGGTCCCGATCTCCTCTTTCGATCGTCACCTTTCCCGATCTTGTGACTGCCGTGACAGCGAATCATGGCAGACACATGACCCTAAAATCCTGCCCCGCCTCACGGCTTCTGGAACCCTTAAAGGGCTGGGAGGCGCCAAGGGGTTAATATTGGTGCTGCTGGCATCTTATGGCACTTATTTTTGCAAATTAAAAGAAATTTAGCAGTTTCATGTTTTGTTGATTTAATACACGGGTGTCAAACTGGCGGCTCTCCAGCCAGCGGTGTATTTAGGTTTTGTGCTGCCCTAGGCAACACAAAAAAACGTCCGCCCCCCACGGACACCGACCAACACAAACCTCCCTCCTCCCCCTTGTCCCTCTCGTGGAGAAAGTCTGACATTGACCAACAACACCCCTGTCCCCTACCTGGGAGAGCCTTCCACTACCCCCCGGCGATGGAGAGAAAGACACTCATCTTCATCTACAGCCCCGGAAATGAGAGTCAGGCTCTACATACACCATTAAGCAGCCCGCAGCCTCTCTCGGATCCCACTTGGTTCCCATGGAGCGCGTGTCCCTTCCTTCATCCCTTCTTCTGGGGGCAGGGGATGCCCCCTGAAAAATGCCACCCTAGGCAAGTGCCTTGTTTACCTTGTGGTAAATACGCCCCTGCCTCCATCTGTTGCCAAACTACAAGTCCCATGAGGCATTGCAAGATTGACAGTTACAAGCATGACTCCCAAATGCAGAGGCATGCTGGGACTTGTAGTTTTCGCAACAGCTGGTGGGCCGCCAGTTTGACACCCCTGATTTAATCATTTCTACTGTTTTTAAGATTTTTTTTGTTGTTGTTGGGGGGGGGGGGGTTGCAAGTAGCTGGTCTTGCCTAGGGCTCTACATACTATCGCCGGCCCTGTTTCCCGCATTGAACGTTCAGCAGCCGTATCTGTCATGCCCGGTAGACCGCCGTCTGTAAGCTGCTTAAAAGTCAGAGATGGAGAACAAACAGGCCTGTTCAGCGAGGCGATGCGGGACGCGGAGCAGATGTGCACGGTGCGGGAAGCCCACATCAAACAATCCCAAATCATCTGACCGAAGTACCATCAGCCCCGACTATACAAATATTTGCAGTGCTGAGAGACGGATATTTTTTTGCTCGTTTTTTGAGTCGTGTTTTCATTATCCTGAGCTCTGCGGTACAGATCGCTCCTCGCGGGGGAAATAAAAACATTTCCTTATACAATGTATCGATATGTAATTAAAAGTGAAGAGTCGAAATCCGCAACAAACAGATTATGTGAAGCCGAAGCGTTTTATCGCCTCCTACGAGGTGGATGTAACATTAATCGGCGCTCAGCTCCGTTATGTCACCCTGTTCTGTTAGGCATATTAAACATTAATAGCAAACTTTAATTATGCTGAATAAATTTATCTCCGAGTGTGAGAACAATCCTACATGGAGATCCCGTCATAAATAACAACGTGAGAGAGGGAGACAGTGTTGCTGCTTTATTAGCCGCGGTCTGTCTTTTCTCAACTCTGCTTTTTAAAGAGAAACTCTAGGTGAATGTTTATATTCACAGGTAGGGCCACTGTTAGAAATTACAGGGGCCCCGTACAGCCTACCTGGCCCCTCCCCCCCCAAATCAAATGAGGTGACTTTACTGTGCTTTAGTGATGAATGGACACAGGAGTGATCAGTAGTGATCACTCTTTGTGTTCATTCAGGAAAGGAAGTGGCCCTCTCCCCACTCTCCATCCTGAAATGACCGCCCTGCCCTCAGCAACTGCCAGAGGGAGAGGAGGGAACACAATAGCACTTCCGGGGAGAGAGGGGCACACTAGGGGACCCGGACCCCATACATCCTACCTGACCCCCCTTCCAAATATTAAATTAGGTCACTTTACTGTGCATTAGTGATGAATGGACACAGGAGCGATCAGTACCGATCGCTCTGTGTTCATTCAGGAAAGGAAGGGGCTGGTAAATATGCCCCATTTAGGCCCCCCCCCCGCTCTCCATCCTGAAATAACCGCCCTGCCCTCAGCAACTGCATGAGGGAGATGAGGAAACCCAATAGCACTTCGGGGGAGAGAGGGGCACACTAGGGGACCCGGACCCCATACATCCTACCTGACCCCCCTTCCAAATATTAAATTAGGTCACTTTACTGTGCATTAGTGATGAATGGACACAGGAGCGATCAGTACCGATCGCTCTGTGTTCATTCAGGAAAGGAAGGGGCTGGTAAATATGCCCCATTTAGGCCCCCCCCCCCCGCTCTCCATCCTGAAATAACCGCCCTGCCCTCAGCAACTGCATGAGGGAGATGAGGAAACCCAATAGCACTTCGGGGGAGAGAGGGGCACACAGAGGGACCTGGACCCCATACAACCTACCTGACCCCCCTTCCAAATATCAAATGAGGTCTTTTTACTGTGCTTTAGTGATGAATGGACACAGGAGTGATCAGTACCAATCGCTCTCTGTGTTCATTCAGGAAAGGCAGGGGCTGGTAAATGTGACCTATTTACGCCTCCCCAGGCTCCATCCTAAAATGACCACCCTGCCCTCAGCAACTGCTGGAGGAAGAGGAGGGAATCCAATAGCACTTGGAGGGAGAAAGGGGCACACGGGGAACTGGACCCTGTACAGCCTACCTGACCCCCCTTCCAAATATCAAATAAGGTCACTTTACTGTGCTGTAGTGATGAATGGACACAGGAGCGATCAGCACCGATCGCTCTCTGTGTTCATTCAGGAAAGGAAGGGGCTGGTAAATATGACCTATTTACACCCCCCCACACTCCATCCTGAAATGACCACCCTGCCCTCAGCAACTGCTGGAGAGAGAGGAGGGAACCCAATAGCACTTCAGGGGAGAGAGGGGCACACAGGGGGAACCGGACCCCGTACAACCTACCTGACCCCCCTTCCAAATATCAAATGAGGTCACTTTACTGTGCATTAGTGATGAATGGACACAGGAGTGATCAGTAACGATCTCTCTCTGGTTTCATTCAGGAAAGGAAGGGGCTGGTAAATATGACCTGTTTACACCCCCCCCCAGGCTCCATCCTAAAATGACCACCCTGCCCTCAGCAACTGGCAGACAGAGAGGGGTACCGCCAGTCCTCCTGTACGGGGCCCAGGCCAGCATGGGTGCCCAGGCAGCTTGGCAAAAGTGATTATGATCGGCACGGTGGGGGGAAGCAATCCCCCCTCCCCCCACACCCCCTCACCCTCCTGTGCACCCTACATTTTCTCCCCCCTGTGTGCCCCCCACCCCAGCAGCACTGCCAGCTTCCCTCCTCTCCATCCCACCGGCAGCTGCAAGCACACAATAGGATCCTTCAGGATGGAAAATGGGGGAAGGGTTCAGTAAATACATCACATTTACCAGCCCCTTCCTTTTGTGAATGAACACCGTAAGCGATCAGTATTGATCAATCACTGTGTCCATAACTCAAGCAGAGTAAACTG